AGCTATTCTAAGACCTCTAGACCTACAGAGAACCCTCCTAGGGCCTTCCAGGAGTCCTTCTGGCTGATCTTCCTTCAGTCTTCGAGAGTCTTCAAGCTTTATTTCCGACCCGGACAATTTTAGGGGTCTACAAGTATCAACTTCATTAAAATTTCTCCTCTTGCTGAACGTATTGAAACCATTAGAATCTTATATATATATTATATTTATTCACTGTATACTATATTAATATAATAAATGCTTGTCAAATAATTATATATTTTATTAGTTTATTGTATTTATTGGTTTGAAATTATTTTTTTGTAATATTTATATATTTTTTAAATAAGTTTTACAATATAATCAAACAATTTCTTTCCCACATTTGTTTTTCAACCAGTCATATATTTATTACTAAATTTAAAAGAATTGGCTTTATTGATATCCTCTTACAATCATTGATGAGAAATTAATAATTAATTTGTTGTCTCTTAATTAACAACCTTTGGTAAAACACAAACAACTCTATGAAATGCACATAAATACATAAGACCTCATATTTTATCTAATACGCACATAGATTCACAAAATCAATTCAAAAATTAAATCTGTATTTCTTCATTTATTTTCTTTCATCATCAAATTTCTTCTTTTTTATTGTCACCATTTTTTCTCATATTTCACTAATCTTTCATGTGAAATTTAAATCTTTCTAAAATATATGAATCTTTATCTCTATTGATAGTGAATTAATGGAAATGATACTTAATGGTGTCTTTCAAGAGACATGCATGGTTAGGATAATATTTATGGGTATTATTCTCTTCCTATATTTTCTCCTTACCTAAAATCTTCAAAAGAAAACCTATTTTATTCCTAAATTCAATATTTTCCCTTTAGTTTTTGGGTATATATATGCTAAGAATTTTTTTGTTCATTTGTTTTTTTTTTTTCCCATTTTCTTTTATACATTTCTATCACCAAATTTTTATGTTCTTCCCTATGTATTATTTTTCTTGATAGAGATAAATTTGAATTTTTTTTCTGCTTATTTTTTATATATATTTTTTCAATAAAATTTCATTTTTATTGTTCTTTTATTTCATATTTTCAAAATAACATATAACTTAACATTTGACTTTAGTTTAATTCATCTCCTTCATCAGAAGTATCTTTTCTCTTTTCTTTGATAGTTAATTAAACTATTATACGGGGGTTGTGGTGGACGGCCAATAAAATATGCATATGTTGTGATTATATTTTCAAATAATAAAAAATATAAAATTTAATTATCTCTCATAATATTTTAATATTATTGATATATTATATATAGTTATATATTAAGTAAATATTATACATATTTTAAAATTTTATCTTAATAATATTATGAGTTAATTAAAAAATCATCACGTGCGCCAATCTAATTCTTAAAAACTGAACCGTGTGTTATTAAATGATAAATTTAAAATATGAACAGAAATTTTAAATTATTCAGATGGATGAAAACCTGACGTGCATATTTTAATTTTTATGTTGTAAGATTATAATTGGTGATTGGTGAAATTGAGTAGGTGAATTCAAATGAACAAATATTCCACCTTGGACTCGACAAGAATACATCAACTTCCAATTATAAAAAAAAAAAAAAAAAAAAAAAAAAAAAAGCTGATGGGCCGCAGCCACCAACGTGCGAGGAAATTATAAACCGATATGAATTACTTTTTTTTTTTAAATCACTCATATATCTTTTTCTTCTCTCTCTCTCTCTCTATATATATATATAAATCAGTATACTCGTGTCTTTTACAGGTATAACTTGTAATCTATAATTTTTTCTATTATTATAACAAATTTTTTAATTTCATAAGATAAATGTTAATAAATATTGCATTGAAGGTTACTAGTGTAAAACAGTAGGCACAGAATTGACCAACCACCTCTTGTTTCTTGATTTATAAATACCTATTGGTTCTTCTTTTAAACAATTTTGGCAATCAACAACGTACTTTGCAATTGGCATCATCAAATTAATGGCATCTCAAAATGATGCTCCCATCGTTTCTCTTCTGACTCCTTACAAAATGGGTAACTTCAATCTGTCCCATAGGTATTCATTCACAACTCACAAGCTAGCATCATGGTCTAAGAGAGTTTTTAAGTTGAAAAGTTTTATGTGTTTAATTTCTAACTTAAAAATTGGTTTGCTTTTGCTTGTTAATTCAGAGTTGTTTTGGCACCACTGACGAGACTGAGGTCTTACAATAACCTTCCCCAGCCTCATGCTATTTTGTATTACTCTCAAAGAACTTCTCCCGGAGGACTTTTGATAAGTGAAGCTACTGGTGTCTCTGACACTTCTCAAGGGTAATTTAATTTTTACTTACCTTTGTTTGATGAATAAAATTATAGACACTACTTGATGTGATTTTCTTACTTTTTATTATCTATGTTAACTGTTAAGGTCGATGAACACACCTGGCATATGGACAAAAGACCAAGTTGAAGCATGGAAACCTATTGTGAATGGTGTTCATGCCAAAGGTGGTATATTCTTCTGTCAGATTTGGCATGTTGGAAGGGTTTCAAGTTCAGGTATTTTCTGACATGAATGCTTATTCCTTACCAAGTTTAATATCAGTTTTATTTACATTTAGGCATGGTAAACGGGGGGATTTACTGAACCTATTCCTTTGAGATGCTACCCTTTTATTTTCTTCACTACCCTTTGATTTGCTTCAAAATCAATTATAATCAGAATCAATTTTTGAAACACTCACCCAAAGAGGAATTACTGAGGTTGCAGTTATCAAATATGATGTGTTCACTTTTTAAAGTAGTGCTAGCTAGGATAATCATTGCTGTTAGCATGCTTTGCAATGAACCAAATTACTTGGTCTAAGAGTTCAATAAACGAAACTGGAAATGATTGGAGGTTCATGGTGATAATGAGTACTCTACTGTCGGGGGTAACCAGTTACAATATTGTTATTTTTTATATACCATTTGAACACAATGTTCCATGCTCAATTTATGTTCATTTGTAACAGTTTATCAGCCAAATGGGCAAGCACCAATATCTTCTACGGACAAGCCACTCAAACAACAAATGGGAAACAATGGCGCAGAAGAACCACAATTCACACCACCAAGGAGGCTAAGAATAGATGAAATTCCTCATATTGTCAATGACTTCAGACTTGCTGCAAGGAACGCTATAGAAGCTGGTAACTTAACTGAAAAACAATATGCTAAAATGTTTAAATTTTGCATAACATGCAAGTATGTGACATACAAATCAATGTGTAGGTTTTGATGGGGTTGAGATCCACGGGGCTCATGGCTACCTACTTGAGCAATTCATGAAAGACAAAGTGAATGATCGGTGTGATGAATATGGTGGATCCCTTGAGAATCGTTGCCGATTCGCTTTGGAAGTGGTTGAGGCTGTGGTGAAGGAGATAGGGGCAGAAAGAGTTGGAGTTAGACTGTCCCCATTTACTGAACATGAAGAATGTGGAGATTCAGACCCCAAAGCATTGGGGCTATACATGGCCAATGCCTTGAGTAGATACAACATTCTCTATTGCCACATGGTGGAGCCAAGAATGAAGAATGCTCTTGAAGTTGTTGAGTGCACTCACAGCCTTGTGCCAATGAGAAAGGCCTTTAAGGGCACTTTCATTGCTGCAGGAGGCTATGGCAGAGAAGATGGCATCAATGCTGTGGCTGAAAATAGGACAGATCTTGTTGCATATGGTCGTTTGTTCTTGGCTAATCCAGATTTGCCAAAGAGATTTGGGTTAGATGCGCCTCTCAACAAGTACAATCGTCAGAAATTCTACTCTAGTCACCCGGTTATTGGTTACACTGATTACCCATTTCTTGAATGAAACCATTTTATTAATATTGACTTATATGTTGTTGCTCATTTCGAATGTTGGATGGTTAACTATAGCATTAAGTTTGTTTGATGTTGAAGTTCTTTTCGTTGTGACAACTTAATTTGATGGTTAAAATGACCTCTATGGTTAAGTTTGTTGTTATAATTCAAAAAGTAATGTGATCTGTATAAGAGAGGTTGAAGGTGCAGAAGGTAAAAAATGAGTTTTTAAGTAGATTATTAATCAATTTTGAGCTTTGTGAGGTGTTAAAAAAATAAATTTTTAGCTGCATATGGTGTGATAAAAAAGAGAGATTGGAAGGCTGTTTCATACGGGAATGTCGACTGTTTATCATGTTAGGATCAAAAGTCCCACATTGGTGGCTTTGACTCGTGGGGGTGTCAAACTTAGACTAAAAAATAAAGTCTTGTGGTCCCATCTTCTAACATTTCAAAATTCTTTCTGTTCTTTGTATCTTTCTTTATCAACTTTAAAAATTATTGTCTTAGTTGTAGAATTCTCATATTTTTCTAGAGGTAGTTTTAATGTTCTTCTTATAAAGAGAGAAATAAGAAGTAGTTGTAATTCTCATTCTCGGTGAAGTTCTTCTTTTTGTCCTTTATTGGAATATCCTTTTTTCTCAAAACATTTTAACTTAAATAATATTAAAATACACCTCAAAATGTTTTAATTTAGGTAATATTAAAATATGAAAATTTAATAATTCTAGATAATTAATGATTCTATTATTTTAGTTCGTGGATAAAAGGATCTACGTAAGATAATAATTTAATAGTTCTAGATAATTAATAATTCTATTAATTTAGTCTTATTTTTTTATAAGTTTTAGTGATAATAAATATTATGTCTTTCGACAGGAAAATATTTTCAAAAAATTACTATTTCAGACTTTGTAAGATGAAGTAGCGTCTATAAGACGAAGGAAATCAGATGAAACATATAATTGTCTATCATGTTCTTAACGTCTATTATTTATTATGACCGACACGTTTGAATTTTCAAATGAATGCTTAACAAATTGAAAATCCTTGTCTTGGAACTCACATTTTGTTAAAGGTGTATAAAAGTATGTAGAGCATCAAAATAAAGGACAAAGATCCTGGATTTCACGGAAAATGTGCAGGAAAAGGAGTGCATCCTTGCTGCACATTGACTTTGCTTCCTATTGTTCCGATTGTGTTACTTTGCTTTGATAAGTAGTTTGATCTATCAAAGATAAGGAGTACATTTAGGTGAAAGACATTAATTGAAGCATTTAATACACCAATGAATACTTTCTCTCACTAGATCAGACAAAGGAGTAAGATGAAACAGTTTTATAAATCAGACTCAAGAAGCCACAATGGTCACCTCTTTCAAAGCTACTATATGAGAAGTTCTACAACTCATTAAAAACAAAAGAAATGATACATAGAGAAGATTTTGAGATACACAAAAAATACACAACTCAATAATATATTTTTCAAGAGTTTTCTTGAACTTGACTATTAGTTGTAAACATGACTAAAAGAGACGACAACTACAACCTTATAATACCTTCATAACCATTGTTATAGGCTAGAGCCTGGAGAGACTTGACTGTAAAAGAATACTTTGGATTGAGCTTGAAGAGACTTTCTTGTTAAAAGAATGTTTGGGTAATGCTTGAAGAGGTTAATCAAAGAACACTTGTGTTGAGTCAGAAGTGGCTTGGTGAAATAATACTTGTAATTTTGTTGAAAGTTAGTGGAACTCAATCTAGTTGGATTGAGAATTGGATGTAACCTTGATGGTTGAGTTGAAACAGTATAAAAACTGTTTATGTTCATTGATTACTCTTGCTAACGCTTTGTGTGTTGCAAATACTACTTCACTTACTTGCAAACGTGTGAGTTTTTGATATACACTATTCAACCCCCTTCTAGTGTTTATCTATTCTCCACAGAAACACAAATATTGAAAATATTTAAGCGCTTAAACGACCTTTAACAAAGTTCTCAAAACTAATAAATGATGATAAAGACTTTAAATGGAAATATATTTATAACAAAATTAAAAGCTAATAAACGATGATAAAGACTTTAAATGGAAAACATTAAAGAAGACTAGTTTTTGAAAGGAAAGGAGAATATGAACTTTGTTCATATTGCTCCTTTATTTTATATTTTATTAATATTAGTAGTCTAAATATTTAGAAATATTTATACATATAATTTTATACATTTCTATTTTTACGTTTTTTCAAGATTTTTTAGCATTCTTTATTTATTATGTACAAATAATATATAAATAATATATATATATATATATTAATGTCTCTCTCTTTTTTATTTGGCTATCTTAGAACAAAAAAAGAATTAATAAAGGCTAAAAATTCAGGTAGAAATCTTTCTTGTATAGTATAAGGGCGGATGTAGCCAAGTGGATTAAGGCAGTGGATTGTGAATCCACCATGCGCGGGTTCAATTCCCGTCGTTCGCCCATTCATATAAAAAAATATAAATTATTCGCTACATAAGGATTTTTTTTTAGTGAACGTGTCACAGTTAATTACTCCTTTTTCTTGTAAAGACGAAGAAACAATTTCAATTTTCTCTACTATTTACTACGACGACGAAGAATCAAATTATCACTATATTTATTCCTTTTTCTACTTCTTTTCCCAAGTGCAGGAAAACCCCAAGGAGTTGCGGGTTTTTTTCTACCAATTGGGGCCCTCCCTTCACCACCCCCATGCGGATGGTCTACAGGGTTCATAACTACTCCTCTTACTACAGGACGCTTACCTAGCCAACATTTAGATCCGGCTCTACCCAAATTTTTCTGGTTTACCCCCACATTTCCCACTTGTCCGACTGTTGCCGAACAGTTTTTGGATATCAAACAGACCTCCTTAGAAGGTAATTTTAATGTGGCTGATTTCCCCTCTTTTACAATTAGTTTCGCTACAGCACCTGCTGCTCTAGCTAATTGTCCACCCTTTTCGAGTCTGATTTCTATGTTATGAATGGACGTACCTAAGGGCATATCGGTTGAAGTAGATTCTTCTTTTTGATCAATCAAAACCCCTTCCCAAACTGTACAAGCTTCTTACAAAGCATACGACTTTTTGGATATAGATGATGATATCTATACAAATGGATCTTATATGGATATATCTATCTATATCTATATCACACAATGAAGTACCGCACGAGTTTATAAAAAAATCGAAAAAACTAAATCTTCTACTCCAAAGTGACAACCTATCAGAAAAATCCATCGAAAGATAACAATGAGGTTCATACAGAAATGCAACCTTAAGGTTGATAGAGCTAAGATTGATGTAATTGCTTCTCTACATTTCCTTGCATTTGTGCAAGATGCTCGTTCTTTTGTTACACATGAAGGTTTTTACATGAGGTTCATCCAAGACTTTAGTAAGATAACATTGCCACTATCCAAACTTTTATAGAAAGAGGTGGAGTTTGTTTTTGGCCAGCCATATCAAGAGACTTTTCAGGAGTTAAAGAAAAGGCTCACCATTACCCTATTATTTGTCCACCAAATTGGGAACTTCCCTTTGAGCTCATGTGTGATGCATCTAGCTTTTCCTCACATCTGTGCAGGAAGTTCATTCTTTTCTTAGACATGTATGTTTTTATAGGAGATTCATCCAATACTTTAGTAAGATAGCATTGTCACTATCTAAGCTTTTACATAAAGAGGTGGAGTTTGTCTTTGACTGTCGCCACCGGCCCGAAACGGGGCTTTCGGCATT